CTCTTAACCCAAACAATACAAATGCAGAAATATAGCCACTCTAATGACCTAGATGAGTTTGTTGACAAAGAAAATTGACGAGATGGACACAAAACAGGTTCACAGTATTGACACAACAAATGAAGGCCCATGCACTCCTTGCATCAATCAACCGTATGTTTGTTCGTGAAATGGAGAAAGTGATAACAAGGCTTCAGAGAAGATTTGAATTGCGTAAATAATTTTGGGGGTCAGAGACAAGGTGGACAGCAATAGGGACATTAGAATCAACAGTATAGACCAACCTAACAATAGTACAATAACAATCCTGGGGAACACGACCACAGGGTCAAGTTGTGCCCTATCAAAGGCAATTGGGTTACAACCTAACAATAACAATGCAGAAGCAGCATGTTGTTCGCAAAAGCGGAATCTTTGGGCAGAAGCTTATAAAATCGAGGGTTTGTTCATTTTTATCATATTTTGAGTTGGAGATTTCAGATTTGGGTGGTTTTGGAGTCGATTTTCACCACATGGATTGGGGTAAGTGTTCTCTACTCGGTTTTGATTATATTTCATGAATCTATCTTTGTTTTTGGCATTTGGATTATGTATTTCCAAGAGAAATTTGGGGGGTTTGTCTAAAATTTCATAAAGTGAATTTTTGAGTTTTGAACATCGATTCGGAGTCGGATTTGAGTGAAATTAGTATGGCTGGACTCGTAATTGAATGGGTTGTCAGATTTTGTGAGTTTTGTCAAGTTCTGAGGTGCGAGCCCTAGTTTGAATTTTTGCTCGACCTTTATTGACTGGGTTTGTTTCCTTTGGCATTATTTGATGTTCTTGAGTTTCTTTTGGCTAGTTTCGAGCCGTTCAGAGGTTGGTACGCGCGAGATGGAATTTCTAGAGTATTGTCTGGCTTGCTCAGTATTGGATTCAGCTTGTTCAAGGTAAGTAACACTTCTAAACTTGGTGATAAGGGTATGAACCCCTAAATATATGTGTTATGTATTTGGTGTTAAGGTGACGCATATGCTAGGTGACGGGCATGTGGGCATGCACCGTGTGAATTATGACTTGGCTGATTCTGTGGTACTATGTAGTTACTTAATCTTATTTCTATCCATGAAATTTCTACGTGCTAAAGTAATTGAGCTGTGATCCATGTTTGAAATCATGTTTAGGCTGCATGATTATCCTGTTGGCACCCACTGAGGTCATTTCTACTGTTGAGTTATTTGCTTAAATTGCAATTATGTACTCAGTCACATTCATTATTTGCATATCATATATTAGTCTCTGTTATCACTTATTGTTACATCATGTATCATTATTTGGGCTGATTGGCATGAGATTTATGAGCCCGAGAGACTGGAGAAATTGATGACTGAGTGAGGCAAATGGCCTGCTTGTGAGTGATATTGATAGGATCGGGCTTCACGTCACAACATGCTTTATTGATTCATGCCATGATTGGCTTATATTAGCACTTAGGCAGGATCCGCCCCTCCGGAGTCTGACATATCAGCAGTGAGCGCAGGTACCGATGAGTGCGAGTGATGAATGATTGAGAGTGCTGAGTGATTGGAAGTACTGAGTGATTGAGCGTGCTGATTGAGGTTGAATACTCCGAGAGTATGAGTATATGGCTTTATCACTGTGTTGGATTATAGTTGACATGCATACATTGACATGCCAGCATAGAGATGTACTTTCCTCATGCTATCTGATAATGAAACATCTTATTTGTTGTTGAAAGTTTTTGGAAAAAAATCACAGTTTTCTGATATATACATATTTTAGTGATTTCGGTGAAAGATTTGGGTTTTAGTGTTATACATGAAAAGCATGCTTACTTTCTGTAACTGTGAACGAGCTGAGCATCATATCTTTGAGTATTATTTGTATTGTTTTCATTATATTGTTACGAGTTGTTCTTGGTTGTTGGTGTTGGACTCTGACCATTGTCCAAGCACGTCAATACTTTCAACATAAGGTTAGGTTTGTTACTTATTGAGTACATGGGGTTGGTTGTACTCATACTATACTTCTACACCTTGCGTACAGATTTTGGAGCTAATATCGCTGTGTATGGCGGGAACTGGCTTGAAGATGAACCTGCGTTCCGGTTATAACTGCCTATTGTTCTTGGTAGCTTTAGATTTATAAATCTATTTATGTACACTTCGAACAGATGATGTATTTATTTCATACCAGCTTTGTAAACTCTATGTCTTAGAAGTTCATGATTTGTACTACCGGTCCTTTGGTTGTTGCATAAGAGTTCATTTATTTAATCATTTATTTTTTTCGAGTAAATCTTATTTGAAATGGATTGTTTCTAATTGGCTTACCTAGCGGGTTGAGTGAGGTGCCATCATGACTAGTTAGATTTCGGGTCGTGACACTTTTCAAATTACAAACAACATGCTGAATTTGCTGCAGAACAATGGGTTGTTCTCCGGGACTTACATCGAAGACCCACAACTACATCTGAAATTTTTTTTATCAATTTGTGTCACTCAAAGACAGCCGAATGTGGCACCTGAAGCAATTAGATTGTTACTATTTCCATTCTCAGTGACTGGGGAGGCTCAGACTTGGCTTAATTCACTTCCAGTAAACTCCATTGCTACTTGGGAAGAACTAGTCAAGCAGTTTTTAAACAAGTTTTATCCACCCAATAAGACTGCAAGGCAAATTGATGAGATATTGCAGTTCAGGCAGAAACCAACTGAAACTTTACAAGAAACCTGGTAAAGTTTCAAGGGTATGTTGGTAAAGTATCCACACTATGGCATCCCAGATCAGATGCTGGGACAAAGATTCTATATGGGTTTGACTGATAATCTGAAGGCCAATATTGATGCTTCAGCCGGTGGTGCATTCTTGAGCAAATCATTCAGAGTGTAAGATTCTTCTTGACAAGTTGGCTCAAAATTCAGGCTGGATGACGAGGGATACAACACTCACTCCAATAGTGCATTCTGTTGCTCTTGACCCCAACAATACAAATGCAGAAAACATAGCCACTCTAATGACCTAGATGAGTTTGTTGACAAAGAAAATTGATGAGATGGGCATGAAACATGTTCACATTGTTGACACAACAAATGGAGGCCTATGCACTCCTTGCATCAATCAACCGTATGTTTGCTCGTTGAGTGGAGAAAGTGATAATAGGGCTTTAGAGAAGACTTGAATTATGTAAATAATTTTGGGGGTCAAAGACAAGGTGGATAATAATGGGGACATTAGAATTAACAGTATAGACCAATCCAACAACAGTAAAATAACAATCATAGGGGAGCACGACCAAAGGTTCAAGTGTTGCCCTATCAAAGGCAACTGTGTTACAATCAGCAGGACCAACAATAGTTGACTTATCAACAACCTCATCAACATGTGACTAGACAAGAAGACAATAGTATGATAGAAATCAAGGGTATGCTGCAACAACCCATTGGGACTAATGGAAATATGCAAGAAAAGATAGCCGCAAATGACTCGGCTATTAAATGCATTGAAACTTAGTTAGGATAGTTGTCCACGTCTTTGAACAATCACCCACAAGGAACGATGCCCGCCGACACAAACATCAATCCAAAATAGTAGAACCCGAATCGGTTAATGGCAGTGAGTCTCAGGAATGGAAGGGATTTGGAAAGAGAGCAAGAATTTGCTCAATCTAATAGAGATATAGTACCACCTACTCCAATGCCACTCAAGATAGATGAGTCAATGAAGCTCACAGGGGTTGTAACTGAATAAGCACAAGTTGACAAGGATAGCGAGAAATAAAATGAGCAGTTCCAGAGAACGTACTAAAAAGGACTTCTGATCAGGAAAAGACATAGATCAGTGGATAGAAGTGACCTCCAACACCATTCCCTCAAAGGTTGGTAAAGCAAATAAAGATGATCAATACAGAAAATTTATGGAAATGCTAAGGAAGATTCAATTGAATATTCCTCTGATAGATGCTTTGAGGGAAATGCGAGGCTATGCTAAAATGATGAAGGATTTGATGTCTCAAAAGTTTGACTTCCAGGACCTTTATATTGTGACTCTAACTCAAACTTGTAGTGCTGTTGTGACAAGGCCTATGGCTCAAAAGTTGTCTGATCCCGGTAGTTTCACAATCCCATGAACAATTGGAAGTTATGCTGTTGCTAAAGCATTGTGTGACTTGGGGTGCCAATATTAACTTGATGCCTTTGGCAATCTACACAAAGTTAGGCATTGGTAGAGCTAGACCAATATCAATGTTGTTGCAACTAGCTCATCACACAATGAAAAGGCCAATAGGAATTCTGGATGATGTGCTCGTCAAGTGAGAAAATTTGTATTTACTGCTGATTTTGTTATTCTTGACTGTCAGGTTGACGAAGAAATGCCCATAATTTTGGGAAGGCCATTCTTGGCTACTGGGAGAGCATTGATTGACTGTGAGACTAGAGATTTGAAAATGAGATTAAACAATGAAGAAATAATATTCAATGTTAAACACTCTATAAGGAGACCCATCGAGTTTGCAAATTGTTTGCTAGTGGAGGCAGTTGATATGATACTACAAGAGGAGGATGCGACTCTTTATATTAGATATCAATTAGAAGCTTGCTTGATGAATTTAAAAGAAGTTGATGGTGAAGATTTGGAAGATTAGGTTATGGCTATTGAAGGTCAAGGTTTTTGGAAAAGGTAACCTCAGTTTGAGCCCTTATACTTAGAAGAAAGAAAAACACCACCTGCGAAGCCGTCAATAGAGGAGCCACTACAGTTGGATCTGAAATCGCTTCCAGCCCACCTCAGGTATGCTTTCTTAGGACCTAACTATACTTTACCTGTTATTATCTTATCTGGTTTGTTACCTGTGCAGGTAGAACAATTTTTATTGGTGTACAGGAATGTAGGACTTCTATTGGTTGGACCATGACATACATTAAGGGTATACGCCTGACCTTTTGCATGCATAAGATTCTTAGCCTTCCATGGAACATCAAAGAAGGTTGTACCCGAACATGAAGGAAGTGGAGAAGAAGGAAGTGATTAAGTGGCTGGATGGGGCCATCATCTTTCCCATCTCGGACAACATCTTGGTAAGCCTAGTCCAATGTGTTCCGAAGAAAGGTGGCATGACTGTTGTGCAGAATGAGAATAATGAGTTGATCTCCACTCGTACGGTCACAGGTTGGAGAATTTGCATGGATTACAGAAAACTTAACAATGCTACCTGGAAAGACCACTTTCCCCTTCCGTTCATTGACCAAATATTGGATAGATTGGCAGGGCGGTCTCACTTCTGCTTTTTGTATGGATATTCGGGGTACAATCAGATCACAATAGCTCTTGAGGATAGAGAGAAAACGTCATTCACTTGTTCGTATGGTATCTTTGCCTTTCGGAGAATGCCATTTGGTCTCTGCAATGCACCGGCCACGTCCTAGAGGTATATGCTGGCCATTTACACTAATATAGTTGAAGAAATTATGGAAGTCTTGATGGATGATTTCTCAGTGGTAGGAAATTCATTCGATGATTGTCTTAACAATTTGAGAAGAGTGTTGAAAAGGTGTATGGAGATGAATCTGGTGCTAAATTAGGAAAAATGTCATTTTATGGTATAAGAGGGTATAGTTTTGGGGTATCTAGTGTCATGTAAGTGTATTGAAGTCGATCTTTCTAAGGTTGACGTAATAGAGAAGTTGCCATCGCCCACTTTGGTCAAGGCAATAAGAGGTTTCCTTGGTCACACTGGTTTCTAAAGGCGATTTATAAAAGATCTCTCTAAAATTGCTAATCATTTATGTAAACTACTTGAAAATGATCACCCCTTTGTATTTTCTGATGATTGTAGGTGTCACGCCCCAAACTCAGGGAGCGCGACCGGCGCTCAACCGAGTGAACCCGGCCGAGAAAGCCTGTTAGATTTCCTTCTACCCAAACTCATCCATGAATAAAGAGGAGATACACTCCATTAATCAAACACTGAAAAGATTTTATTAACAACTCCCATTTCATTTCCATTAGTAGCTTCATTCATAATTTCCAAAATATTACAAGTTTATAGATATAATGAAAAACATGTTTGCCAAATACTAACATTTCTAGTTCAATCCCCCATATCAAACACCACCCACAACCTCTCTACGGAGCCCCTAAGTACAACAGAAGAGTAGTATGGAAGTGCCAACAACAAGGCCCCGGCTATACCTCAAAACACAATGTACAACTCGAATGACATTAGGCCCGAAATAGAGTAGGGCTAACCAAAACCTGCTGAATAGAGAGTGATTGCTAACGAGGACCAAAGCTGCCCGCTGATGAACCACCTGCATCCATTAAAGATGCAGCGCCCCCGGAAAAAGGGACGTTAGTACATATGGAATAGTACTAGTATGTAAAGCTAACTGTCCTATTTCAAAATAGAATGCCAATGTAAGAAAGGGAAAACCATGGAAAAATAATCAACAATCAATGATATTCAAATGCCAAGTTAAAACATAATAATTTCCAAAATATGAAGATAGCACTGTGAAGTGATAATCAAAATATGATGATAATATTATTTTTGGTTGGGAGATCTTTAGCACCGATATACCACTGTTCACAATACCATCGTTCACAATACCAATACCATCGTACTTTTAGCACGGAGTCCGATCACGACCCGATCGGCTAGGCCATCTCATCTGAGACATCAACCACAATCACAATTTCAATTACAATTTCCAGCACAATCACCACCATGTGTGTGGCATGGCGTCTGATCACGACCCGATCGGTTAGGCCATCTCACCACAATGCCGTGTGGATCGACATCATCATTTTGTATCAATCCTCTCATCCTAATTAAGGGGAATAATTTTATCACATCAATCTCATCCCAAATAAGGGGAATAATTTTATCACATCAGTCTCATCCCAAATAAGGGGAATGATCACAATCCACTCCTACACCGGCATGTGTAGTTTCGGGGTTAGGTTATTTCAACCTACCCTTCCTTGGTGACTATCGATACTCCTAAAAATATTTTTGATTTGCATACTAAGGAAACAGAAGTACAAATTGCAATTTACCTCATAACCTTTCATATCGTATATAGCTTCATTGGTACTTTCAACTACTTACAACATCATTATTTCATTGGCTCTCTTGGCCATACATATAATTCATCATTCATGGCATGGTGACCGTATTTCATATTTCACACTTTCATTTCTTTCCTTTCATGGATCATCATCATAAATATCAACATATAAAATATTCCGGGAATCACAACTTTAAATTCATTAGTAATGACGACTTTAAACACAATGGATTTCTTTCCAAGAAATGGAGTAAAATATTTGGCAATTGAAGCACAAGTTAAAATCATAAATGAGTAACACATCATTTATTCTTGAAATACTTTTCCCCAAAAAGGGCAATACACAATTTCAACTCATGAATATATAGGAGTTCAAAACACGTTGGAAATACTTACAAAGCATAACATTAATTGAAACAACCACATTTCGGCACGACTTGAGTACACAAGCTTTTAGGAAAATCTATTTTCGAAGTCAATTTGGAACAATTCAATCAAGACTCATTTATTTACTTTTCTCACGTCATTTCATTTCATTGGCACCATTGGTCACAAGTATAACTTTCATTCTTGGCACGATGACCACACTTTATATCACCAACTCTCTTCTTTCACTTTCGAGCATCTTTATATATTATCAACAACAAGGCATTTCAAATCAAGACTTTAGGTACACTACACATATGTGCAATTTAGAGTCTTAAGCATATCGAGTTTTTCTCACACAATTTGGCATACTAGCTTTTATTTGGAACACGACTGAAAGCCATAATATTTTAATATACAACCCATACTTTGAACATATATCTTTCGATATAAGGCTCATTCGGAATAGTTAAGTTTATAAGGAATAACTCAGAACATAGGAATTAGGAACTTGAGCCAACCATACTTGAAACTTACGGGAACATCATGGAATTCATTTCTAAAAGAGTAGTTTAGCAAACATACCTTGCTTGAGCTTTCCTTAAGTTACTACAGCGTTCCGAAAATCCTAGCAATCCCAATCTATTTTGAGACATAACAGAATTGTACACAAATTAGGAAGATATTCATGCTTTCAACCAATTTGAGCATTTTATCAAACACTAGGTGTGCAAATTTGACCACAAGGTTCTTCTACAAGATTTCCTTCACTCCACAACCCAATCTTTACCCATTTGAGTTCAACAATCTTTTCACAAACCTTATTGGTACACGCATGTATACATAATACTCTCACACTGAAGAATCATACTCCCAATCACCCATCTTTTACCCCAAACTCGAAATTGAAGACTAGGGTTAGAATCTTACCTCTTGAGTGAAGATCTTGTGAGATTTTCTTGTTGGATTTCAAAGCTTGGACAAGATATTGATGAACAAAGCACTTGGGATTCTTCCTCTCTCTAGAACACTCTCATTTATCTCTAAAAATATCAGATTTTTGCCTTCAAAACGAGCACTAAAGGATATTTATCAAAATGGGGTCGGGTTATAAAAATAGGAAAATGGACCCTCCGAACTTAGGTCTGCGGTCGTAGAATGGTCCGCATAACAGGTATGCGATCCACAAAATGGACCGCAAAACTGATTCCCAGAACTGGGCTGCACTGATCAGGTCTACGACCATTCTGCGGTCTGCAGACCACTTTTGCGATTCGCAAAATGATTCAGCGGTCGCGGAATTGACCGCAGAATCACATTCTGCCATCCTTTGGGAATTTGGTCATAACTTCTTATAGGAGTGTCCAAATGACAAACGGGTTGAACTNTATATATAATCGTCCAAAATTTGGTCTTGTGCGTACTCATTTGGAACTTTAGTCTATCATGTAATTTCCAACATGACTTAGACTTAAGGCTCTCATTAGACCCCACATCATTTGTAATATGACTCGTACACTTATTATCATATCCAATTGATATCCATCCTATTAATAGTCCTCGTCTGCACACAAAATAATATAATTAGCACACATCAACTTTCTTAATAGTGTTTAAGTACTTCAAAACTTTTCGGGGTGCTACAGTAGGTTGGCATTTGAGGAGCTGAAGAAGAGATTGGTAACTTCACCAATCATCATTTCACCAGACTGGGAGCAGCCTTTTGAGATCATGTGTGATGCGAGTAACTATGCTATAAGAGCAGTTTTGGGGCAGCGAAAGGACAAAATTATGCATCCAATATACTATGCAAGTAGAACGCTAAGTGGTGCACAACTCAATTATACCGTGACTGAAAAAGAGATGCTGGCTGTGGTATTTGCATTCGACAAATTCAGGTCTTATTTGATAGGTTCAAAAGTGATTGTTTATACTGGCCATGCAGCACGTAAGTACTTGATAGCGAAGAAGGAGTCAAAGCCATGTTTGATCCGTTGGGTTCCCTTACTACAAAAGTTTGATTTGGAGATCTGCGATAGGAAAGGAACGAAGATCCAAGTGGCAGATCTCCTTTCAAGGTTGGAGGGAGCTGAAAAGAAAGTAGAGGTTGAAGACATAACAGAGACATTCCCGAATGAACAATTACTAGTAGTGACAATGGAGGAGATGCCTTGGTTTGATGATATTGCTAACTATTTGGCAAGCAGTATTGTACTTTATGAACTCTCTTCACTATATGGTGGGCACTTTTTAGGTGTATCCCCGAGAAAGATCAATCTTCTGTTTTGTAGGCATGTCACGCTTCACTATATGGTGGGCACTTTGGAGGAATTAGGATAGTTGCGAAAGTGTTGGGATCAGGTTTGTATTTGCTGACTCGATTCAATAATTCCCATGCCTGGGTGAAAAGTTGTGATGAGTGCCAAAGAATCGACAACATATCTCGCTGTCGTGAGATGTTGTTGACTACAATTCAAGAGGTGGAAGTGTTTGACCTGCGGGAAATTGATTTTATGGGACCATTTGTCAGCTTGTATGGTAACAAATACATATTGGTAGCAATTGACTATGTATCTAAATGGGTTGAAGCTGTTGCTCTTCCAACAAATGATGCAAAAGGAGTAATAAGATTTCTAAGAAAATATATTTTCACACAGTTTGGCACTCTGAGAGCTATAATCAATGATGGTGGAACTCATTTATGAAAAAGAGATTTTGCAAGGCTACTAGAAAATTATGGAGTTCGCCATAAGATTTCCACACCCTACCACCCGCACACAAGCGGGCAAGTGGAAGTGTTGAATAGAGAAATCAAAAGTGTCCTGACCAAGAAAGTAAATGTTACTCGTACTGATCTGGAAAGGAAGCTGGATGATGCATTATGGGCTTACTGCACAATATTTAAAACTCCAATCGGTATGTCTCCATACAAGTCGACGTTTGGAAAAGCTTGCCATCTACTGATGGAGCTTGAGCATAGGGCCTTATGC